TCTATGTCAAATGAATGCTTTTATTCAGTTTAGCACGTTATGCTTAATATCAATTTTTCCAATTTTAGAATTAGCTTCTCTTTCCATACTAAGTCCAATTTTAGAATTAGCTTCTCTTTCCATACTATGTCATATGCGTTTGAAATCGACGAAAACAGCCGCAAGGGTATTTCTTGCACCAATTTTAGAATTAGCTTCTCTTTCCATACTAAGTTATATGCTGATTTGAAAACGACGAAAACAGCCGTAAGGATATTTCTCGCATCAAGGGCATCTTTGATGTGCTGGGAGAAAGTAGCCACATGTTGGTTCGTTGATCTTTTTGGCCTATAACCTGCTTGTTCACTCCTAAGAATATTGTTGGTCTCAAGAAACCAGGTCAGCCTCCTGTAAACCAGTCTTTTCATAGATTAAGCCAGCAGGCTTGTGAGGGAGAAAGGTCTATAGGTGAGCCTCTTGTTAACCATTCTTTCCATAAGTTTATCCAGCACGCCAGCACGCTTGTGGGAAGACAGGCCTATAGTTGTCAAAGTTGCTAGGGTCTTTGCCCTTTTTTAGTACTGGTATTACTATGGCAACTTTCCATTGGTTAGGTACAAGAATGGTCTCCCAGATTTTGTTAAAAAGCGCCAGAATGGTTTCCTTGACTTTTGGTCCTATTCTAATTAGAAATTCCGGATGAATATCATCTTCGCTAGGAGAATTTTTGCACTTTAGCTGTTTTATCGCAGCGTTAAGTTCGTAAGGTCTGAATAGTTCAGCAAGTACATTATTTGTTGTTGTTGTGTATTCTTTAATTTAACCAAAGTGTCTTTAAATCTCTTGACGATTTTCTGACAAATGGGTTTTTCTTTTGCTTGTGAAGATGGAACCTCTCAAAGTAGTTAGATATTCCGGAGTCGGTGGTAAGCAGTTTATTGTTTAAGCGTATTGGTTCTTTCATTTGTCTTTACCTGTTTTTTTTGGAGGTTACCCAGGAATTTGAAAGTGCGTTGGCCATCACTTTGATAGTTGATATTTGAGATGAAGTTGTCGAAGGAAGTCCGTTTAACCTGTAAGATGGCTTGCCTTATGACAGCTGATTGTCGTCTTCAGACTTGTACGTTTTCCGTTCTTCGAGTCTGCTCAGCAGTGTTGCGAAGGGCGTCCCTCTTTCTTTTCAGTTCCTCGAGGTGTCTAGACCGAAACACTCGATAGTGTTTAGTCTTGCCTCTGGTATAACACTCGATAGTGTTTAGTTTTGCCTCGGGGAATAGTTCTCTTTCTTTTCAGTTCCTCAAGGTGTTTGGACCAAAACAGCTTTCTTTTTAGTTCCTCAAGGTGTTTAGACCAAAACACTATCTTTCCAGTTCCTCAAGGTGTTTAGACCAAAACACTCATTTCAGTTCCTCAAGGTGTTTAGATCAAAACACTCGATAGGCTTCCTCAAGGTGCCTAGACCAAAACACTCGATAGTGTTTATATTTGCCTCGGGGAATAGTTTTCTTTGCACATCTGATCATTCTTGCCTATGGGAATAGTTTTCTTAGCACATCTGATCATAATATTCGTGATACATAGTTTTCTTTGCACATCTGATCATAACTCGTGATAGCAGTGCAAAGTTGGTCAGGATGTTGGCTGAAGTTAAGGGGAATAGTTTTCTTTGCACATCTGATCATAATATTCGGGTGCAAGTAGGAATGTTGGTTGAAGATGAGGGGACTTGAATAAATTTCATCCAATGGTTGAAGTTTATGGACTTGTGTGAAGTTCATTCTCTAAAAGGTTTGTGAATCTGACCAGTCAGCATTCTTGAAGTTCCATGATAGCTTAGTTGGGAATTGTGTGAAGTTCATTCTCCAAAAGGTTTGTGAATCTAGGCTGAAGTTCATTCTCTAAAAGGTTTGTGAATCTAGGCCAGTCAGCCTTCTTGAAGTTCCATGATAGCTTAGTTGTCACTATCCTTGTCATGCTTTTGCTACCGATGGTAATACTAGGAATGGTTTGTTTGTGACTAGAACCAGGATCGTCAATTATTTTGCGGCGTGTATGCTCGCTAATGTCGGTTGAAGCCAAGAGCAAGTCAGGAATTGTTAGGGTACCATTATAGTGTAAATATGTAGCCGGATCCTCATTGCTGTAACTAAGTTCCAGAGAGTTGCTGTTTAGCATGTCTTCGATTTCCTTTCAAGCTATGTTTGTATTCTTATAGCCCTATCTATTGGAATGGGCGTTGAAGTCGCCTAGTACTACAGTTTTGTGTGAGATGATCGGAAAATCAAAGTTGGGACAATTCTGGGGTCGATTTTAAATTGCATATATCTTGAAGAGGTTTTGACATTTCCAAACATAAATACTTTATTTATATCAAATGGCAGGCGTTTTGATAATTATCATTAGCTCTTTAGTTGAATTCAGGGTTCACAGAGGGAAAGGAACATCAAAGTAAAATCGTCGAGAGGATGTGGGAAACAGAAGAGTGTTTCAAAGACGAAGGTAGAAAAGGTAGATAAAAGGCGAGGTGAGTACTGTAGAAGTAGTGGAATATGACATGGAGTGGGTGATGGTAGTTTGAAGTCAGAAGTCAACTGCCAGTTATTGGTGATGGTAGTTTGAAGTCAGAAGTCAACTGCCAGTTAAAAGACTTTTTTTGCCACATGAGTATACGTTGCCCAGGGTGCACCACGTCCATTCCGCCAGATGGGGCTATAAGAATACAAACAAAGCTGGAAAGGAAATCGAAGACATACTTAACGGTAACCCTATGGAACTTATTTAAGCAATGAGGATCCTGCTACATAATTTTAATAAAATGAAAACAGAACAGCTCCTGACTTGCTCCTGGCTTCAAGCGATATCAGCCAGCATACGTACCATAAAATAGTTGACGATCCTGGTTCTAGTCACAAACAAACCATTGCTAGTATTACCATCGGCAGCAAAAGCATGACAAAGAAAGTGCCAACTAAGCTATCAGGAAACTTCAAGAAGGCCGATTGGTCCAGATTCACAAACACTATAGAGAATGAACTTTATACAAGGCCCCTAAACTTCAACCAACATCCTGACAAATTTTGCAACGATATCACAAATATTATGATAAAAATAACAAATAACAAGGAAAGACTCAAGAAAGAGCCAATACGTTTTAAAAACAAACTGTTTACCACCGACTCCGAAATAGCTAATTACTTTGCGAGGTTCCATCTTCACAGGATAAAGAAAAACCCATTTGCCAGAAATTCTTCAAGAGATTTAAAGATACAAGTAAGACACTTTGGTGAAATTAAGGAAGAAACAACAGCACCAAATAATGTAATTACTGAACCATTCGGACCATGCAAACTTAATGCTGCGATAAAACTGCTAAAATGCAAAAAGTATCCTGGTGAAGACGATATTCATCCGGAATTTCTAATTTGAATGGGACCAAAAACCAAGAAGAACATGCTGACGCTTTCATCAAAACCTGGGAGACCAGTCTCTTACTTACCCAATGGAAAGTTGCCATATTAAGACCAGTACTAAAATGGGCAAAGACTCTAGCAACTTTGACAACTTTAGGCCTATCTCTATCACAAGTGTGCTCGAAAAACTAATGGAGAGAATGGTTAACTGAAGTCTGACCTGGTTCCTTGAGTCCAACAATATTCTTAGAAATGAACAAACAGGTTTTGATCCATAAAGACCAACTAACAAAGAAGTGGCCACTTTCTCCCAACATATCAAAGATGTTCTTGATGCAAGAAATACTCTTACGGCTGTATTCATCGATTTTAAATAAGCACATGACTTAGTATGGAAAGAGAATCAAATTTTAAAATTTAGAAAAATTGGTATAAAGCATAACATGCTAAACTGGATAAAAGCATTCATTGGACAAAGATCATGTAAAGTCAGATATGGAAACGTTCTATCAAAATCCAATCTTTTACAAACAGGCCTTCCACAGGGAGCTATCACAAGCTGCTCTCTTTTCAATGTCCTTATCAATGACATAGCCGAATTTGTGCAGACAGTCACGGGCATCAATGCATACTCTACGCAGATGATCTTGTTCTATGGTATTCTGGTCCTAAGAAAAAGGCTCAGGAGAGGACAGAAAGTGCTCTAAATCATGCACCTAATCTAGAAGCGAATTGTTGCGCCAACAATGGAATGGTTATCAACACCACGAAAACTGCATTCTAAACATTTTCTTGGGTCCTTCACAGCATTAACTTGCTTCTTAGGTACAAGTATTTTAACCTAGAAAAAAGCAATGAGTTCATTTATCTCGGAATGACGTTTGGCACAAGGCTAAAATGGAAAAATTACATTGTTAAAAATAGCAGAACGAGTCACAAATAGACTGAAAGTACTGAAGAGTCTTGGTGATGGAGCATTGGGGCTGTGCACTCTCAGGCCTTAACACCACTTACATGATGTTTATTCAACCTATACATCAAATGGCAGGCGTTTTGATAGTTATCATTAGCCCTTTAGTTGACTTTAGGCTTCACAGAAGGAAAGGAACGTCAAAGTGAAAAAATGTAGAGAGAGGGGGGGGGGTGTTTCAAAGATGTAAAGGAGACAGACACATA